GTTTCTATCGCCCACCCCTACCAGAAACTCTTATGGTTTTGATCTGGGAATGAAGACAAACTCACCTGGATGGCAACAATGGCTGCTTCATCCTGACTCAGCTTGTACAGCTTCTTCTTCATGTTGCTGAGGATCACAGAACGAGGAGCAACGCTGACACTTAAAGGCTGATTGCTGGGACCCAGAACATCCTCGTGCTGCCACTGAAAGAACCAATAAAAACAGGTATATTTGGACAATCACCGAATGGCATGAAGTTATGTCAGAGATGATCCACTGATTCTAATAAAGCTGACCAGAACTCGCCCCTTGCTTTGCAGCACTTTGCTTCACTGATCTTCAGCTTACAGGCGACTGGAAGTATTTTTTGTGATGTGAAAAGTGATCTTACACTATAATGCATCACAACTCCAGAAGCAGCACTACACACTGGTGCATGTACCTGGAACATCGCGATGTGCAGCTGGCTCCTCTGCAGGCTGGCCTTGGCAGCTTCCAGGTTGCTGTCCAGCCTCCTCAGCAGGTCAACTTTCTTCCACGCTGTGTCGTAGGACGACACCAGCACTGTGGCTCTGTTCAGCAGCAGCTGGGAGACTCGCCCTGACGTCAGGCCCTGCTCCACCGCCTTCTTACAGAGCTCGTCCAGAGAAACCTTTGGACAAACACACACAGCAAAGGTTACTTTATGCTATTCTTTAGAGTCTTTGAAAACTGGAACAATAAATGTGTATCCACTTTGCATTTACACTAAAACATTCAACATTTCACACACACAGGGTTGTTTTTGTAAATAAGGTTTTTCCACGATGGAGCACGGTGAGGAGAAGCTGGTGAAAAAAGAAGAATTGTGGAAGAAGGTTGCAACATGAAAAATATTTGGAACAGGAGACATGAGTATGAGATCCAGAAAGGGCAACGACTGTCCGACAGTCTGGGGGAGGCTTTGAAAGAGCAGCTTATTAACTCAAACCCACTGATTACTGCAGCTCTGCAGCTGAGACACTTATTTTTAAACAGGCTGAGTAAGGACCACCTGACCAAGACGGGCAGCAGATCAACCAACCTGAACGAATGCAGCCAACAAGTGCTCAGCATTTCTAAAGACTCCTTTAAGAT